GCATAGGCCATCCCTTTCCTCACTCATTGCTCTACCTTTACAACTCAGAAAGCTGCTGCCTTCCTGTCCTGCCCACACTGCTCCTTCATATTCCTCTGAAATACTTCCCATTATGTTTCTCCTAACATTGTTCTCAGATGGCTTGGTACACACACGCTGTCCTTTTCCCTGCCCTCTCCGTGCTGCTCTTGCCCCCACTTTGGCTGGGGTGGAACAAGGTGCTGGTACCCAGAAGTGCCACCAGAAATGGAGAATGTAGGGTTGGATAATGTGTATACAGTGAGTGAGAAGCATGCTTGCCTCCAGAGAGTTCACTCCTTAAAATTGTACGGCAAAGAGAACATGTTGTATTGCACATAGGGGACCTGACCCATGTGATATCTATAATAGTGCTGGAAAGAAAAATCCTCTGAGCCCTTAACTGTTCTTGCAGTGCAGCAGCTTGGAGGTTTCTCCTATAAATCCTGGATGGTTTTGACTATCTGTGTTACAGGACGTATACTTCCCTCAAACTTACATAAATGTTCTTTTTAGAAATTGTTCTTATTAGTGATTGACAACATGTAAAGACTCATGGCCCTGCCTGTTCTGAGAAAATGTGGGATCTTTCAAGGTGTTTCCTTTGTGAACTTTTTCTTACCTTAAAGCAGAAATTCTGTGGAAATGTATTCAGACACAGTGGAACGCATCTTCCTGTTCTACCTTATCAGTGATACGTCGAGAGATGTGGAGTTTTGTGCTTTGAATAACCCAATGGCTATCTAAACAAGGAAGCTGCTGTCCACTGAAGCGATGGGCGAGTCAAACGGTAGTCTGCATGATGGGCTGGCCTGTTCTTTCATGTCTTCTGTGGTGTATTTTGTATCGGGCTTTTCAGAAATTTTCTGGCATTACTCAATATGCTTTTTTCCCCGCCTCCTGCTTTTACCAGTGTTTGATAGGTGAGGACTAGCTCTCAGGGTTACGTCAGCAAGACATATATATACAAGCACGCATGCATGCGTGCATACAAATACACACATAGGTAGAGATAACATACGTACTATTTATAAGGAGCAGGCATCACTGCCAGAGGAACAAGTATCCTTCGCTGTGAGGAAACACCTGGAGAAGGTAGGACATCAAATGCCAAGTGCTAGGTGGAGGGATTTGGTGCTGGCATTCAGGAGTCATCTGTGGCCAGCACAGAGTTAGGATTTTCTAGGGGTTTGAAAGACGTGTAACTCACCATTCCTTGGAGGCACGATGCTGAGGTGAAACTGTCCTCTCGGATCAAATGGGTGTATTAGTTACATGACACTGCTGTCCATGCTGCATGCAGCAGCTGCTGCTGTACTTTTCTCTGGAAGTGTTGAAGGGAAAGGCAAAGAGTTCATATCAGCCAACATGAGAAGAATGGGTGTGATGTAAAGCAACTAGATGAGCCGTGTCAGCTGCCCCGCATGTACAGCTCCAAAGCATCTGCCTGCCAAATGGTTGGGAACGCAGGCTGGTGTTTTAGCTAGCCCAGATTTTGTGCACCCCTGTTTTCTTATTTTTGCTGTTTAGGGGTGGTTTAGTGGGTACTTGATCGGAAAATATTTTGCAGACATCAAAATACTTTCAACGGGAGTTGTGGGCAGTCAGAATTTCTAATGATTAGAATGATTGTGAATAGGATGTTGTAACCTTAAGTGCTAAAGGACAGACCTTGAGTAAACAGGATTTTCATATTTCCACTGATTTCAATGTAGCTTGGACAGTTTGCACAGCAAAGAATAGGTATTTTAAATTCTCAAACAGAGTCTTCAAAAGTGAATCTTTGCTCAGAGAAGTATTGTTTTACAGACTCTTTGTTAACATCAGTGGGAGGCTCTGGGGCAGGTTCACTGCTCGGCCTTGAAAATCTTAGCACCAGAAGGTTCTCGTCAACTTTTGGGCCAATAATCTAAGCAGAGGAAATTCAGGGCAAGGTCCTCCACCTGTCTGTACATTCATTCATTTTGTGAGAAAACACGGTTCAATGCTTCTTGTCAGGATATTTCTATTTGCTAAAAAGCCCACAGGAAGAGTGGGAGTCAGCTTTGAGATTTTATTTCTGAAATACACCCTTATGTTTAATCAAAGACTTGAAGTTGTACCTGCAAGTGCTGTTTTCATACTGTGTGTTTAGAGACTAATAAAGATTAATAAAGCCTAATACAGTCACATTTCCATTTTGACTAATGACTTGTAATTTCTGTAGCTAATGTTCTGCTGTATTACATGAATGGTTGTAAAAGATGGCCCTGCATCATCTGTTCTGCTCACCCTAAAATTGATTATTTTGTATGCAAACATTTGCTCTGTTCCACAAAATCAGGAATGGCTCTTCAGCCCAAATACAGATTGTCTTCGTTAAATCAGAGCTGGGCTGAGCTCTGTCAGCTCCAGGTTTAGCTCTTGGATTGCCCACTACCCCAGTGTTGCTTGGGATAAATCTTCTCATAGAGAGAGTAAGAGGGTCTCAGAGAATTCTTTCATGGTCCAATTACTTTTAGTAAAAGTGAAGGATTTTCTGTGGATTCTTCAGATTCTCATTTTAAGACTTAGGGAGGAGGCCACTTCATGGCATCTAAGATGCTGAGAAAGATCAGGGGAGATCGTAGGATACTGGTGTAGTGGAAGGACGTACATCAGATGGCAAACATACTAACCAGGGCAATGTGCAAAGAATAGATAATCAAATCCGTCCAAGCTACCGGTTCACGGCTTGCATCTAAAGCTTTTAACCTCTGTCTGCTACACTTGGCTGCTTTCCCTTAGAAATTATTAATTGCTGAAAGAGACGTGCACACGTTCTGCTCCACCTGTGCCGGTGGACATGGTGGGACATTCCGATTCAGTCTGGTTCGGTAACGTCGCTGAGTGGAGTACAAGTGATTTCCGGGTATGCTTTGGCTAGTTGTATTCAGCTGTCTGGTGCCTGCTCGTACACGTGACTGCAGCCAGACAGCAGGCAGAAGGTTAAAACCCAAGGTGGAACACCTTGTAGCTGTTTAAGCAGTGACTGTTCATGACACATAAAATGCTTCATTGCATCTTTTGTTCAAAGATTTCCAGGTAATTTGGAAAAGAGTTCAGAACAATACACCTGCAGGCAGGTTCAGTTGGGAGGATTTTCAAAATATACAAAGTAGCTACAGCATTGACTCTCAGCACACACTGGTACAGCTGGGGCTGCTGGCTCAGTTTCTTGAAAATAAGGCAGCATATTCAGGTGATTTAAACCTCCATTGTTTAAAGTATTGGGTTTTTTTATACTGTCTCTGGGTTTCAAGGCCTGTCTATAAAGTTTAGCTCTTTTTCAAATAAATGCCAGACTGAGGTGAGAACTGGTGAAGGGTTACAATGATTTTATCAGGCATTGTGGATGCCCTGCACACCCAAAAATCAAGTCTCAAGTATCTGCTCTTCAGTGTAGCTCAAAGTATGTCAATTGTTCACCACTTCTTTTCCTGGGGAGCAGCAAAATGAGAAATTCTTCTTCATACATGTTTTGTCTGTCTATATAAAGTGTAGCCAATCTCCAGGCTGTTTTCTTTCTCTTGTTTTTCTCTTAAATCAGTCTATCTGTCTGTTGCTCATGTTGTTGAAGCTGTGAAGGTCAATGGCTATGAAAAGGCAAAGGAGAGACAGTATTTTTCATCTGGAGAAAAAGTAGGCAAGTTGTTAGGCACTTAAATCCATTTTCAGGTCTGAAATGTCTACTGTACAATAGAAAATTGAATTTTTGTTTCCAGTGTTGTATTTTGAAGATTTTCTCTTGGTTGCCCTTGAGGATCAAGCCTTGTGGATCAGTTGTAGAGTGGTTTTATAACAAATGAGGACTCTGTGTGGGAGAACGGTGCAATCTGTTGTTTGGTTTCTCACAGGGAATGCTGGTGACCTTCAGCTTCAATGGGAGTAGCAATCAACTGATTCCTAATTGAGACTAGTTTCCTAGGGTGCCTGGGGCAGTGATTTGGAGTCTCAGAGAGCCTCCTCTGCAGGAAAGCCTTCCAAATACAGTATCATTATGGCATGTGAACCATTTATTGAACTTTATAGCCCGATTCATTTTTTCAGTCCATACTGTAATATGAAGGCTATGATTGTAGATCACCTTGTTGCCACTGATGGGTGTGATTTGCCTGCTGAGATTTTAATGGTGATTTCTCCCAGGAGCCCACCACCTGCAGCAAAAGCTGATGGCTGCTAATGTTTAGCATAGCTGCTAATATTAAAAAAGGGCTATGAAATCACTCTTTGCTGTTTTCAGTGGGAGGATGAGAAACATCTGTCTTGAATGTTACAAGGAAAAAATAATATCTCAGCATGCGATTTTATGTGTGAATCTGTGGTAATCAGCAAGATGGAATGTGATCTCTTGGGGGAGACTGTAGCATTCTCCAAAATGAGGCAAAAAGGACAAAATAACCAATGGGGGGGTGTGAGTAATGTCTTTGTAACACCTAATGTATTCCATTTCTCTATTAGCCTTTGGTTTATCTTGCTATTTTTCTTTTTTAGGGAGAGGAAATAACGACATGCCAGAATCTGATTGAGTAAAGACTGTCATTCATGTTGCAGCATGTCATGAAAATATCCTGGAGAGCTTAAAATAGTTCAGAGGGAGACTGAGAATAGCCATGTCAATGGCTTCAAAGCCCCAGTAAAAGTCAATGGGGTCACTCATTTTGATTTCACACAGATCTACAGCAAATGTAAAGCCTTGAAAACGCAGTGAGCAGTGCTAGATTAGAATTGAATGGGTCCCCAACTTCTCCTGGAGTGCCACCCCACCCCTGCTAGCTAAAGAGAAAATTTTAAAAGTAACGATTAAAATGACTTTTTACACTTGTTTTAATGATCAGGAATTCTTCTGGAGAAGACACACCTCATCCCAAGAAAAAAAGAGTTTCCAGCAGGACTGTGCAGGGCGAGATCCCTGCGGACTCCTCAGCGGAAAAAATTATCCTGGTATTATTGTGGACACCGCCATGCCTTTTCTGCCATGCTTGAAAAAAAAGAAGTCCCCTGTGCCTTTAGGTAGGAATATCTTTCAAAAACACACCCCGCCCATCCAGCAGAACTACCAGGCCTTGCTGGAGACGTGCTTGAAGAAGAAATGCCTGTTCACAGATGACAACTTCCCTGCTCACATCAGCTCTATTGGAACAGGAGCACTGCTAAAGAAGCTACCCGGAAATTTACAATGGAAGAGGCCACACGTAAGTGACTTTCAGTGAATACTCTAATGGAAGAGGATGATTACAGCTGATAGCCAGCAAATAGTGTTAGAATTGAGCAGACTACTCTTAGGCTTTAATTTAGGTGTGCTTTAATGCTTCCACAGATTACACTTACTGTATGAGCTGTCATTTTGGAAGCTGGGGTACATGGAGTTTCATAATTGCCTTTGAAGCATTTGTTGCCCAAATTCATAACCAGACTCACTCTGTTTATATCCAGTAATGCTCGGAGCAGGCAGGGAGAGCAGGTAAAGGGAGCAGGGGGAGCTGGTGTCCTTGCAGCTCACAGCTCTGATGATCCCACTGTGATTCTGTGATGACAGTTCTCATGGTGATGATCCCTCTTCCCAGAATTCAAGATCTTGACCTTTTTTCTGACTTTCTAGATAGTTCTTAGCCTTTGGCCCCTCTCCCAGGGACCACATACCGTTGTGATGCTGGAGGCTGCTACTTTCACTGTCAGCAGCAGGTGCCTTATCATCTTGCTGGGCTGTTTTTTCCCTGTTTAGTCTATTCCTTATTGTACTTAGAAGCTGTCTTTTCCCAGCTCTCAAGGTTGACCTTCTGCCACAATCAGTAATTGACCATCGATCAGTGAGTTGGTTTTAGTTCTGGGACCTCTGTTTTCTACTTGTGCCTGTATTTCCAAGGTCTTTGCTAGTATCTCATGCTGAGGCTGAACATCGCAACAAGAGACACCTGGTACTGAGCGCTGGTCACAGAGCAAGTTCTCATAACAAGTGGATAACAAGTCTAGGAGGCCAGGACAAGGGCCTGGCAGAGTTAGATCGGGCCTGTTAGCTCTGGCCCGTTACTAGCGATGTCAGTTCTATTCTTACTGAGCCACAGAGCAACATATTGACAATCAGATCTTCCTGAAAGCAATGTATAGAATTACCTGACAATTTCAGTAGCACTGACTCCTTATGTTACTGTGTCTGTGAGGGAATTCTGCCAGGTGATAGCAGATAATGTCTCCTAGCTAAGTCATTTTGAAACTGTCATATTTTTTCAGATTTAAACAATTTCTTAGAAGGGATGACTTTCTGCAAAACTCATGAAAATCACCAGGAAAGTAAAGGCACCTTTGCAAATTGTGCAGGAGAGCTTGGGAATAGCAGCCCTGGTTCTCAGACTTTCATACGCAATTTGGTCTCGCAGATGGTTTGTGTTAAGTCAGGATCTGCAGACAGCGGAAGAGTGCAGTCCTCAGGGGCCTGAGCTGGGTTGTGCCAGGCACTGCAGCTGAGGCAGCTATATCAGCATAGAGGTATTTGGGAGGGAAAGGTCAACATGAGTACTGGCCTCTACAAAGCCCTTCAGGTGTACCTCCATCCCAGAGATATTGGAAAGGACTTGAAACCTCCTGTGTCTCTCAGTACACCGTTCTGCTGCTGTAAAACTGCCTCGTGAGGAAGGCTGCCTTTTGCTCTGAATGCCAAACTTAGCCCAGCAAAGGCTCTCTGAGCACAGATGCTGTGCATCCTTCAGTCCCTGTGCTGCAGAGGAAACTCTTATGATTCTGCCATTCAGCCTGCAGGCTTGTAGCTTGCTGCATCTATGACTGATGGCCTGCAAACTGAACACCCAAATTCACCAACGATAGGGGTTAGTGTCTAATTACTGTAACTGCCTTCTGAGGGTTTGCTGTTTCTCTGCTTTTGCCTGAAGGGGAAGCCAACAGTGTGAAAATTAGCTTGAGCAATTTGTGGGTCATTAGAGTGAAACGTAAGTTTGACACTTAGGTTATTAATTTGACCCCAGAGGCACTTGTGAGAGGAAAAAAACCACGTAATTTCTCTCAGAACAATTATTCACAGACCAACTCTTGTCACAGCAACAGGAACTTCTGTAGCAGCCATCAGTTAGTCTGTAGCTTGATTGTCAGTCAAATTGTGGAGACGTCAGCCAGGTTAGCTGAAAGTTTGAACAGTCATGCTGTGCCACTGTAGACTCTTTTGGCTGAAACTTGTCAGTAATTATGGATGAGCAGGTCTGGCAGGTCTGAAGGGTTGTCTTCTCAGCGAGGTGTTTGTGGAGACCCATGGCGATGCATCTGAGCACCAATGGCTTACGTCAGAGACCAAATTCAGTGTAGAACAAGCACAAATATGTGCCCAGGCTTGTGTCAGGTTAGCCGGGGCACATGAGAACACTGAAGTTATACCTGAACCAGAACAATGTCTGCTGGGACAAAGGGACCCTAAGTTTTTTGAAAGCTTTGAACAGGCAGAGGGATTGTTTTGTGTCACATATCCATGAGATTTTTACATCCTAGACTAGGAACTCACTGGATTTCCCATCGTACGAGGTTACAGCTCTGCATGCAGAAAGTCCTTGACTTCAAGTTAAACCAGCTCATGTTACCGATTTGACTCTCTCCCTTTTTTTCTGTTTGGTTGTGTGCTTCCCAGGCTTTGCACAGAAGTCCAGTATTTTATGCTGCAAACAGAAAGCAACTTGATCTCTGCCAAGGATTGGTGGGTAAGGCAGCTCCTTTGTGTAAATATCTAAGTATTCTTATACAAGATAACATTTTATGTGGAATTTGACTGTATAAAACTTGGAATACAAATAGAAGGTGTGCATATCCTTATCTCTCTACTTGGCATGGTGTGGATGAAACAATCATTAGGATGGGACAGACTCAGTAAAAAACCTGGCAAGCTTCAAGGTGGGATTTGAGAGGTGAGAGGTGTCTCCACAAGCTGAAATTGCCACTGTCTGTGTTGCTTCTGTGCATGCTAATACCACAATAGGAAGTGATCCTGTGCTCTTACTGGTCTGTAATGTTGCTGCTTGACAATTGAACAGAGACCACAGAAGCAGGAAAATCTGAGACTTTTCCTATCTTTGTACTGAAGGCTAAGTATAAGTGGGTTCTCTTCCCAGCTTTGCAGTTAGGAAAAAAAATTTTATGCCTCTATGTTAAAGTAAAAGGATATATTGTCATCTGCAAAACAAGTAGGGGCAGGACTAAATTAATTAAGTGCTTTAAGCCCTTAAACACAACAGCTGATAAGTAAGGTCTTGCACGTGAGATCCATTGGAAATTATGTTTCTCTTCTGAAAAGTTAATGTTTTCAAAGAAAAGGGAAAAGGGGTTTTTTTATAACAGTGTGCCTTTACAGAAAACAGAAAAAAAACCACACAATGTCAGTAAAAAACCAGAATATTTCCATTGAGAGCTATTTCTTGCAAAATTTCGTATTTAACCAAAGAGTATCCAAATGAAAAGATCATGAGAGAACAATTATAAAGCAATCATGGTTTAGTTAAGTAAAGCACACGCCTGGATCGTCTCATTTTCTGTGTATGATTTGTTACAATTGTAAAGACATCAGCACAACAGCTCTTCTGCTAGGATCTTGGTGGTGTTCCTGAACTTGGAACGCTTGCTTTTCAGCCAACTGCATGTGTCCATTTGTCTTGGCGCAGAGAACTGCTGGTTCCTGGCGGCCCTGGAAGCCCTGACGTTCCACCAGGACATCTTGGCTGCAGTTGTGCCACAAAACCAGAGCTTTGAGAGGAAATATGCTGGCATTTTCCACTTCCGGGTACATCTGCTCCCCCAGCGTGCAGGAGGTCTTCAGAAATACTGTCATGTTCTGTGTCACACCCTTAGACAATTTGTACACGGTTCATCTTGGCCAAGGCCAAGTGGCCAGAGGGTATCCTGGCCTGGAGAGTAGCCCATCACCCCTCCCACAGAGCAGTGCAGGCAGTGGATCACCTACAAGCTAGTCTGAGGAAATACCACCTCTTGGCCCTTCTCTCCAGCTGTGCCCTACCCATAATTTAATCCATACAGAAGTTTTCCTCCATAGTGGCAGCAGTCAGCAGGACTTAAGCACATCTGCTCCAAACTTCTACCCCTTTGCCTAGCTCTTGATGCAACTGGGCTACCCTGCAGTTAGGAACTCCCTCCCCAGAAGCCCAGCTGTGCCTAATTTCCCTGCTTAAGCATTTTACACCAGATAGGTGTTTTTTTTCCCCCCTCCTCTGGCAGGGTGGGGCTGAGGAGTTGGGTCTATGGGTGAGTCAGCCCATCCTGCTGGCTCCAAGCAGCCCTCTCTTCGAGGCAGCTCTTGTTCTGTGCCCACAGCTAAGCTATCTTGCCTTTCCTGTTGTTTCAAGGGGAGGTCCCTTCCAAGGGAAACATCAGCTCATTCCTTTCCCCTGACAGTTCTGGCACTTCGGTGAATGGGTTGACGTGGTGGTTGATGATCGCCTGCCGGTGAACGAGGTGGGGGAGCTGGTCTTTGTTTCCTCAGTCTATAAGAACGTGTTCTGGGGAGCCCTTCTGGAGAAGGCATATGCTAAGTAAGTGACTCATTCCAAGTTATGCAAATAAACTCTCTAAAATATGTTGGTTGGTGCCTACACAGTTTGTTCTTGTTTATAAATGCATCTCCTAGGCCTTGCCACATTTGGAGTGTAGTAAATGGTTCTCATCTTTCTATTCTTAGACAGTAAAAGCTGCCACTGCAGTAGCTGTTATCAATCCAGGCTCTTGAGTTTAAATCCAAGGGTTTAGGAGTAGGCATGAAAACAGACCTGTCCTGGGGGGTTGTTCTCTTGAGTGTTATCTCTGTTTGGAGTGTATTGGTTAGGATGATGCATTCATTGTAAATACTGCGGAGGAATGGAAGGCCACAGATAGGTATTTTCAGAGGTGAATGATTTCTGTTGCCTCCCTTGATGTATTATCAGTTTGAGGAAACCTCCAAGGAGTTTCGTTCTGGGAGTCTGCTGAAGCATTGTACTTTGTTTTTGCTAGAAGTTCCCACTCTCAGGTCCCCCAAAGCTGAGGCATTTAGAAAGTCACATGGCATGGTGAGAACACTGGCTTTTCTCCAGGGTGTTTTGTCTAGAGTGGTTTATCAGGACTAACAAGAAATCAACGAGGCATAACTGCTAGAGTTTGTTAATATTGAGCTGAAATGATCTCTGTAGAGGAGGGAAAAATCCTAGTTAACATTGAGAGAAAGATCACAGTGAAAGAAAGTTCAATTACTTTTATTTAGTGTTAGTGTTACAACAAAAAGGTCAGAGAAATTTCCACTGCAATGGTAAAGAAAATCAGATACAAGACAGACCTCTCAAGACAGTGTGCTTCTCAAGGCACTATATCTTAGATATGGCACAGTATCTGGTGATAAATTTGGGCAATGTTCGCTAAGGCAGAGTTACCAAAGAAGTAGTGATGGGTATGTTCTCACTTCTGTGCAGGGAGGGATGACAGTGAGTGAAGAGGCCTCTTTACTCAATGGCTAATCTTGGAGGAGATTTGCTAGATTCCCCCCTTCCTAAATGCCAAAGATTCCCTTAAACATAAGTTACAGCCTTCCTTTTGCTTTTGCAAACCTTTATTGTATCTTTTCATTGACACGCTGTTCTCAGCCTATCATCTATGACTATAACCCCAAGAATACGTTGATATCTTTTTTGCTAGACTCTACGGCTCCTATGAAGATCTGCAGATTGGGCAAGTTTCAGAAGCCTTGGTGGACTTTACAGGTGGTGTTAATATAAGGATCAAGCTTGCAGCAGCTCCTCCTGATCTGTGGGATATCCTGACAAGAGCGACCTACAGCAGATCTCTTATGGGCTGTCAGACACGTTTAGGGGTGAGACTTTGAGTAACATCAAATGGCTTCACAGCTAAAAGCATTTCCAGACTTGTTTCCTCTGCTGAGCTAGGCATTGTGACTCAAAAAGTACCAAAGCTGCTGCACGTGACTCTCTGTAGAAATTGCATTCTTAATGTTAAAACTTTTCACGTGGATTGATTCCTTGCTGCTCTCAGCTCTCTGTTGTTACATTTAGGAACTGGTTTATCTACCAAAGAACTTCTGCTAAATTAGGACCTACTGCATTTTCCTATTTTTGTTAAATAAATTTTCCATTTTTACAGATGGTGCAGTGAAGCACGGAGACTCATGGAATAAGCTTATAGCTAAGATAGAGATGCATAGTTCAGAACATGAATTCAAGTCTTGGCTTCCAAGCCTTATGCTAACACTTCAGCTGTTGGGAAACCTTACTATTCTGAAAATCAAAACCTGAACTCCTGGACTTTTAAAAAGTGAGATGACCTCTAGCCAAAGATCCACAATTTGGGAAGAAGCCTTTCCAATTCCGAGCATACTGCAAAATATGACTGTTAGGAGCTTAGTCTTTTTTTTTTTCCTTTTTTTCTTTTTTTCACTTCAAACCATTCTTCATTTGCTTTGAGAGTCATTGCTTATACAGATACAGGTCTCTGGTATTGGTATGAGTCTGCTGCTGTGTAAGTAGGGATAGAATAAAAGGTTTATTTTCCTTCTGTTTTTCTTCCTTGCATACAGGCAACAAAGGTCCTGAAGAACGGGCTTGTTGCTGGCCATGCCTACACGGTGACTGGTATTAGAAAGGTAAGACTAGCCCTAACATCCTGGGTCCAGGTTTGGATGTCAGCAATTTTTATTGCAGTTGTAGGTTCAAGCCTTAATCAGGGCCACTATGGTATCTCTTCCCGCAATGCTCTTCTCTTAGCATGCAGTCTCTTTTAGCCTTAGGCTTTGTTAAGATGCACTTTCAAGTGTGTCCATTTTGGTACTGTGACCTTGATGTCAAGTACAATGGTTATAAATCAGCATATCTCTAAGGGTGGGAATGATTCACAGGGCTCTGCTGAAAGCACCACCTACAAATGCATCTTAGCAGTTAAGGAGGAAAGGACTGGCCTTTGGGCGTGCTGGGAGGATGAGCTGGACCCTGCTTGGGATAAAATGCCTTCTTCTGACTTCAGAGGAAAGGCCATAGAGTAGTAAAGATAATTGAATAGAAGGGCCCAAACATGAAAAACTGCGTATGGAAATGTGAGTCAAGGCTAGAGTACGAGAACCAAACTGGGCTTTTGTGCAGAGAATTCCAGGTGGACACCACTGATGTGCAGAAGTACCAGTAGGAATCCCCTAAAGATACCTATCTAGAGGCGTGGGACAGTAAAATAGTAGAGCTCAAAGAGTGGGAGAAAGCTCAAGCTTTCTCCTCGTGGATTGATGGCTCACTATCTTGTCCAGTCTCAAAAAGAAGTTGACGAGGGTGGCAAAGGACTTTGTGGAGCTTTGGGTATGTGATATAGATGTTGGTGAAACCACGTTCAGTGCCTCTGCAAGAGATACTAGGAAAGCTAGAAGAGATAGTATGAGCTGGATGAAGCACGCCTGTGTCTCCCACACACAGCGGGAGGGTTTTAGGTATGGACTTTATTGGTGATATGTCTGTCAGTGTGGCTTCTCTGATGGGATGAAGAGCCAGACAGGAGTAAGGGACTGACCGAGCATGTGGTGCCAATGTGAAGTAAGCGGTTCTGCTGTATGCTGCCAACAAAACCCCTAGTCGGCCTCACTCCCTCATCTCCCACCATGGCATCCTAGTTCCGGAGGCGCTATTTGATGTGGTCACCCCATGGGCTGCATTGTGCTGCGCCATTGCACTGGGGTAGGACTTAGCTTTCACAGTAGTACAGTCCTGCCCCCATATAAGCACAAAATGAGCAGATGTTAGAAAGGAACAAGAATTTATGGTCAAGCCTCCAAATTAGGAATCTGTGAGGTCTCTGGTTTCAGTTATGGAAGGTAAGATAAAGCATCTTAATCTCTTTATGCTGGCATTCAGAGTTGCACGTTCATAGATTTTTATTATTGTACTTGCTTGAATCTATGAGAACAAACAAAATCTTTGTTAATATCTGACATAGCAGTTCTCATCTGGTTTATATCACTGTACTGAGACCTTGGTAAGCACAGTGTTACTGTTTTCTGCAGGTGACCTGTCAATATGGGCCAGAAAACCTAGTGAGACTGAGAAATCCATGGGGGAAAATTGAATGGAAAGGAGACTGGAGTGACAGGTGGGTTGCAAAAAGGGAAGATCTGATGCTAAGTGCGAGGAGAGGTTTCTTGGAGGAAAGATGCTGCCACCTTCAGGTGTGAATTAATGCTGAGAGCAGCATTAAGATAAGTCACAGTTGCTTGCACAGACCCTCTGGTGTCAAAGTAATGACTCTATAGATTTATATTTCTCCAGCAGATCGTGCTGACGCAGTTGGGCTCACTTCACATGTGGAGCTTCAACAAGCTCGGTTCTGCTTTCCCATTCACTGAATGCCAGAGGAAACATAATATGAACATCAGACCCTGCCCACGTTGCTGTGATCTGGATGGCACGCGAAGTGACAGATAGCTGTGCATGAGGCTCTAAACAAACAGCATGTTTTAGGGCACGCAGTCCTTTATCACAGGAGGGACCATGCAAGGTTCTCCATGGGCTGCAAAGTGTTGGAGTTGGGTGGCTGCGAAGGAGTCCTCCATCCTGGCTGTTTGGGGAAATACAATTGGGTATGAGATCAAAGGAAACAACTAGTGAGGCAAATGGGTCCTATATTTGCATCTGCCTGAATGTTTTGATTGGAATCCATGAAAGACACTGGTTTGCAGTCTAGACTACGGCCAACGGTAGACTTGTGTCCTATGCCTCTTTGAAATGGAGCATATTCCTTCCTTCCAAATTTCACTACAGACCCTGTTTGCTGAGGCTTGGGGGTAGGGAGGAGGGAAGAGCACAGGGAGGTGTTGGGAGTGTGAGTGACTTTCACCTTGTCTACAGAGCAGTAACTTCTCTGATCCGTGTCTGTCACATAATGACAACATACCAGCTGTTCCTCTTGAAGAGCATAATGAGCAACATACTGTAGGCCTGCCTTTTAAACGACTCCCAGCTGCCTCTTATGCTGTCCTAGTCATTCATTCATTATGCCAAACACTCTTCCTGTTATATCTCCTTTGACAGAAAATTAACCAACAAAACAGGTCTAGATTTTTATATTTTAAGTACTTGAAGCTGTGTGTGCAAGTGATGGACTCGCTGATGGAAATGGACCATTTCTGGCTTTGGCTGGAGACAACTGGAGCCATTTAGCTACATCTTGCGGTACCTAGAGTGCCTGTGGAGAGTCTCCCATGGCTGAAGGCATAGGGGGCCTGTGTTTAGTGGGGGGTAAATGTGGAGATATGTGAGGACAGGGATTTGCCTCTTTTTATAAAGGAATGCTGTGAACTGTGGCTTGAATTTGGTGTCATGTTTGGTTAGTCACCTCGTGGTTTTGCCCTCAGCTCTTACAAATGGGAACTGCTGAGCCCGAAGGAGAAGATTTTGCTGAGGAAAAATAAGGAGGATGGAGAATTCTGGTAATGGCACAGTCTCACCTCTCCCCTCTCTGCCAGTAGCTGTGGGGCTGCATCTGGATAGGAAGCAGCACGTTGCCACTTAGGTCGAGGCATATGTGTTCTGGTTTATAATAGCCCATGCTTGCTTTCTTGCTTTCCTCCTCTGCTTCATGATGTGAGAAGCAGCAGCAGTGCTGACACGAAAGAGGTGTGCTCCTCTTCAGTGGCAGGAGTGAGGGAGAAGCAGGACACTGCCAGGTCTCCTACGGCTGCTGGAGACATGGGCAGCTTTCAGGTGCTTTGGTGTCCTGCCTTTTATTTTTAAGATAGCTTTGGGAAGCTCTTGCTTGCCGTTTGTTCGTGGGTTCTTCACAGCTTCTGCCACGAGGTGGCAATGTTGTCGCCCGTGTCATTTCGCTGTGATCCTTTTGGTGGCAATATTATTTTAAACTCTGTGCTGCTATCCTTTGCTGAAATTTTAGTCGTGCATTTGCTACTGCTAGATGCTGCTGTTGGAGCAGACGCTCTCTTCTTTACTGCCTAATAAAATATGAGCATTACCATATGTAACACAGAATGGTGTGGCTTCGAAGTTCCCTGCTCCCTTTCCTTTTCTTTTTATAAGCCATATGGACTAAACTAAACTGCTGACGAGATGTCTCTTGGCACTCTTTTCCCAGGATGTCTCTGCGAGATTTTAAGATTCATTTTGTAGATCTGATGATCTGTAAATTAACTCCAGACCTGATGAGCCAGGAAGATGGGAAGAAGTGGATGTACTCCCTGAAGAGTGGCAGATGGGTTAAAGGAAGTACAGCGAGAGGAAGTCTGGGATTCTGCAATGGTGAGGGGTGCTCTTTTGGATGACTTGGGGTAACAATGATCTGCTGACTCAGTTACAAGCACCTTATACCTATTAACACAAAACCGATGAGAGAAACACACTCTTCCTGCTTAACCTTCCACACAAACATCAGAAATAAGCAGCTGAAGGACTTTGACTAGCTTCTGCTGTCACAGAAGCTTCATTGCATGCAAACATGGGGCAGTGGGCTGGTTATGGCATGAAATGAGCTGCAGGATCCTAGGATCAATTACCAACACTGAGCTTCTCTGGGGCATTAAACTTGTCTGTTAAAATTTGCATCCTCAGCATCTCCAGTGGTGTTTTAAGTAAAGTGAATGGGAAATGCAGAGGCTCGACCCCTCTGGAAGCAGAGCAGGTGGGGTCTGAAGTCAGCTAGCCCATACTAGCTGGAGGTGATAGAGGAATAGTGATATGTTTATAAACAAAACGAGCTCTTAGTTGCAGGTGAGTGGAAACGTAGTTCCTTGTTCCTGGGCCTTCCTCCTATCTGACATAGTGGTTACACTGCTAAACTTGTAAACTGCACCCTAAGATCAAATCCCTGTGGGGTCTGGAGGTCCAGGCAACCTGTGACCTATTCAGTGCAATGCCACGCATCATGCGGGAAGCTGGAAACCAATTATGTGATGGAAAATGACATCAAAATGATTTTCTTGTTTTGCTCAGACACCTTTTGGATGAACCCGCAGTACTGGCTGAAGGTTTTACCAGTTGACGAAAGTAAGAAAAGCCTGGGTTCCTGCGATGTGGTTATATCCCTGATGCAGAAACACAGCAGCAAACACCGGAACCGAGCTCCTCACCTCTTCATTGGATTTTTACTCTACAAGGTGCAAAGAATTGCTTTGCCTTTCTTGCTTTCACCAAATAGGAAAACTTCCAGCCTCTGTAAATTGTAGAACTTTACAGATCAAGAGTTTTGCTGCGTGAGGAGTGATCTGTGCTCTTTTCTCATTGCCTATGCCCAGTCTCCTCACACATCAGGGTTAGGCTTCCTCAGGCTCTGTGCCCCACTTGCTGCCTCTCCGGCATGCTGTGTGTCAGCCTGCAGCCCAGTGAGGAAATGCCTCTTGCTTCGGAGCACACTGGGCTTTATTTTGCCCTCTAAGAGTATGTGCAAGAGCTGGGAGAGGGTGCCAGGAGTCCCTTTAACCCTCCTTAACCTGGGGGCAGTGCTCTCCCTGCCCCAAAGTATTTCCAACCATGGTAAAAACTGTGTTTGAGAAGTGTTCCTAGTATGAGGTGGCAGCTGCCCATGTGTGAATACTGCTAGTTGCCTGTGTATACAGTGGTAAGTGGATATCGCTAGAAGGAATGCCTTGCAGAGCTACCCTTCACCCTTGAACAGAGCCACAGCTCTTGTTGCTGCTCTGAGTTTGCACAGTTACAGAGAGATGGCTGTGGGGAAGGGTTTTCAGGTGGAAGGGCTGAGGTTTCTAAAAGCAAAGACCCCAGCTGAATATATGAATCTGCTTCCCAGCAATGACATGGCTATGTTGTGTGAGACCCAGAGGTCCCTATCTGACAGATGCTCCATTTCTTTTCTTCCCGCAGGTGGACCTACAGGTGAGTCCCTTGTCACCACTGCTGGCTGTTTGCTGGGGGACCTGGGCTGGTGCAGCTGTTACAACAACACTGAAGGTGTTGTGTTTGCCTTTGTTACTTGGCTGACAGCTCGTAACAGCGTATTTGAGTTCAGTGAGGCACCACAGTAAGTCGCTATTAATGCAGAGCTATCTACTGACTCTTCTGAAGAACATCTGTATCAGGAGGGCTCAGTGCCCTTAAAAAGTGACATTAGTTGTTCAGCTTCTGCACTGGGTCTTCAAAGGTGTTAGAAGTGGCATCAGTATTTACCTAATCAGCACGCTGTCCTTGCTGCAATTGTGGGATGGTGCCCCAATTCTTGGCTGTGTCTGAGCTGAACTTGCTGCAGCTCTCAGGGGAGCCAGAGCCAACTTTCTGCTGCCTCCCAGTCTTGGGATGAGGTAGGAGCACAGCTGGTGTCCCATGCAAGTCAGGGGTCTCCTGGGGAGCTCGAGTGCCTTCCTGGCTGGGGATGCTCTGGAGCTGATGCTACAGATGGTTTCAATTTCCTCAGGCCAGCTATATTTCTAGCCAGGAGCCTTTGGGACCTGAGGTTAAACTCTCATGTAAGTCCCAATTTTGGCCCTGACCTCAGATGGTTATTTAAAACAAGGAAAAGTTTAGCTCCTTTTATCTTTAAAGGGTGTATCTTCCACTGTGTTACTACTCAGAACAGCGCTTAAATGAGAATCCCTTTGAATTTGGGCTGGTAAAGAACTGGTTTGGATGTATGGTCAGGGCAGCGCAATTATGTTCCCGGTTACTGTAATTCCAGCATGGTAACCATGAGGTAAGATGCCACTCCTTCCCGACTTAAATATTTTGAGTGCTAGCAGGGTTACAAGTGGAGTTAAACTTCCTGGCAGAGGGGGTCTGAGTGTGGCTCTAGCACGCTGCTGTGACATATCTGATGGGGAATAGTGGAAGCCAGGACTTTAATTTCAGGTTTGTATCAGTTGCCAAGATCAATACAGAGAGATGGCAAGCCGAGAGCATCTGAGGTATTGGAACTACAGTCAACAAAGTATTGACTGGAATATAAAAACTTTGAATTTAACATAAGGGGCATGAGGAGGAGTAACCCTGAACCCTTCAGAAGAAAGATTGCTCTATTGGTAAGAAAAATACTGGCAAATGAAGAGGAATAGCATCTCCACTAGGAGGCTGTGGAGTAAAATGGCTAAATGTTTTGAGGAACAGCCAAGATCAGAAGGTGACAGTGGTCTTAGCTAGCAGGATTATTTATTTGGCTTGTGTACTGGGCACTCGATGGCATTAAAAATGAGTTCAGTGTTGCCTGGATCAACACTTTATCCATCCTCCTATTGCAGAAAAGTGCCTGCAGAGCAAAACATCTGTAAGAGCCAAGAGTGCCAGGCAGATCAAGGACACATACATGGAGTCAGGGCTAGGGATTATGTTGCTCCTGCAGTACGCTCAGATCATAGATGCTCTGAAAAATCCTCTGCTGCCAGATCCCTAGTGCAAAGGACAAGCTGGGAACAAAATGCAGAGTACCTATGGGATAAGAGGGGTGTTCTAGCTAGTGAAGAGCGG